CTTTTCAGACAACTGAAGACTCCAAGCAGGCAAAGAAAAACGACCAGCCGCCCCAAGCAAAGAAGCCCAAAGTGAAAACGAAGACAGTGGAGCTGCCCGTCGAGCACAAACTGCTCGGGCAGCTGTCTGATGACGTACTAAATATGTCTGTGGAGAATGAGGTAATGTCCCAACAATCACCACCAGTGTCCAGCATGCACTCCCAGTATCCGTCCACACTACGTGCTGCTGCTTCTTAAGTCCTGCCTTCATTTCTTTCTAGAGGAAAGACCGTTAGTCGCTTCATAGATCATGTTGATGATATAATAGCTGATGACCTGGTGAATATAACACTACGGGGATTTGGTTGCTTTTATTAAATGACATGCTGCAGAATCAAATATGATAATGATGGATTTGATTGTTTGGATGTAGACATTCACCATATATAATTGGATATTTGTTGTCCTTTTTCCTCAAAGTGTTTGTTTTTGTTCACTGTCTCGGTAACACCCGCCCTTTGGCTCTTTCAGGGGCAGATGATCATGCAGGACAAGCTCGAGAAGGAGAGGAACGACGCCAAGAACAACGTAGAGGAGTACGTGTACGACATGAGGGACAAACTGCACGGGGTCTTGGAAAAGTTTGTGAATGAGGCTGTGAGTACCGTGAGCAGACATTGACACATTGTCGCCTTAATCTCAACACGCACTTCCTCTTAATCAATGTTAGTTGTTTTTTGTGCGTTGGGATTTTGAAAATGCTTCTTGTGTGCAGCATCGAGACGCGTTCTCCTTAAAGCTGGAAGACACGGAGACCTGGCTGTACGAAGACGGAGAGGACCAACAGAAACAAGTTTACATCGACAAACTGGCTGAGCTGAAGGTAACCGGGCACAAAGCGAGCAGCTGGACAGATGTTCCAGAGGGACATAATAGCATTCAAGGGAAAACTCGTTTTAAACAGGTGTACAGTTATTGACCTGGCTCCCTGCTTGTTGAGATTAATGTGGTTCCCAATGCATGTTTATCTATTATATTCTGCAGTATCATAATAGTTTTTCAGAAATTACTCTGTTTATTCAGTCACAATGAATGAGTGTGTTTTGTCTTCTGACTAAACGTGACACTTTTATACAGGAAATGGGCCAGCCAATTTTTGAGAGATACATGGAAGCTGAGGAGAGACCTAGAGCATTCCAGGAGCTTGGCAGATTGATCCAGATGTACATGAAGATCATCGACGCCTACAAGGCAAAGGTAGTAACCTGGTTTCTTTACAAACCAAAGGCTTGCTTTGTTTTGTTTAACAGTTTGAGGGTTGCCTAACAACACCCCAAACTGTTACATTATTGGACGATAAACCACGACCTCTCATACCTTATTGCTTTTATAATACGGTTACCAGCGAAATTATAAATATGTAAGTAAAGCTGCCTTTCAGCACAAAATAGTATTAGCCACCAAACATTGTGTATCGCATTTCAATAGTCGTCTAGAGAAAAATAGTCCCTGTACGTGCATGTAAACAGCATTGGGTCTCCTTGCAAGATCTTGCAGCATCTCATTCATTCACATCGCTCATGACGTCCATCTTAATTGTCCGGTTGCGAAAGCTCGCATTGCCTGAAACCGATCATGTGTGGTGTTTCCGGCCTTTTTTCGGCAATAGTCACCGAGCTAAAACTGAAATGTCAACTAACTGTCGCGCAAAATCTAACCGTTATTTTGAGTGCGCAGCGATATGGAACGCTCGGGTCAATGTGAAGTATGTTACATTAATAATGTACCCCGTGTGACTCACTCTTAACCAATCAGAACGCTGAATTTCCTCTACCCCAGCGGTTCCCAAACTCAAGAATGCCGCGGCCCAATTTGAAATCTGAAAATCTTTCGTGGCCCACCCAAACCTTTAATCACAACTCTGATCAAAACATAATGATTAAATGACTGTAAGAATTTAACCAAAATCAAACATCCGCGAGCAAAAGTTCGTCACCGCGAGGTATTTGCTCGCTTGCAAAACGTGAACTTCGTTGCTTGTGAGGAGAATCGCTGCTCGCTGTTGTTCTTTTTGACAGTAAGGTGGAGACGGTGCTTTCAGGGTCTGATCGATGCTGCGAGGTGCGTCCGCTCCCGCCGCCGCCCTCGCCATCCACGACTTAAATCTTCGGCTGCTTTTAGAATAACTTATTTTCCCTGTTAAGATGGTTCAGCTCCTGTAAAAAAAAGGACGCCGTCTCTCGCTCTTTAATCTCATAACGTGCTCGGCAAGAACGACAGCTTTGTTTCTCCGACGCGCCCTGAAACAAGCTCCATATCTCACGCGCTTGAGCGACGCTCAGCATCTCGCCGTCGTAGACCGAGCTTTGGCGTGTTTGGCAGAGCACCTTGAGCGCCGTGAACAACCAGTATGGATCAACCGATTAACCAATTGATCCATATATATAAGGCGCTCCGGATTATAAGGCACTGTCGTTTTTTGAGAAAATTAAAGCCTTTTAAGTGTGCCTTGGAGTGCGGAAAATGCGGTATATTTACTTTAATACTACAAGAGGGCGCCCCGTTTGTTGAACAACGACAGGCGGACAAGAGCAGCCGTTTCAAGCGAGAGCCTTATTGTTTTATTAATCTGTCCGTTTAAATTGTTTGTGCTTCATCAACTAATGTTTCACATAACTAATGTGCCGCATCATAAATATTTGTATATTAATTTCAAACTTTTAAAAATTGAAAATGAAAAAACTTTATTTATTTATTGTAAATGACCTCTCGCGGCCCACCTGCAGTACCTCCACACTTTGGGAATCGCTGCTCTACCCATATTATAATAGGTGTTTAATCACAGCCAACGAGGTTCCATGTGAGATTATTAATGATTGCCAAACAGATAGCATAAATTATCCGTGCACCCCCCCCCCCCCCACCCCACACACACAACAGGATGAGCTGTACGATCACATGGATGAGCTGGAAGTGACCAGCGTGGAAAAGCAGGTGAAGGCCGCCATGATCTGGATGAACGGCAAAATGAACCAGCAGAACAATCAGGACCTCACTCTGGAACCAGTGGTCAAAGTGGCAGAGATCCAGGCAAAGATTAAGGTACTGAGTACATTCGAGGTGCTCACACAAACAACCAACCTTAAAATAGTAGAAGTTGTGGAAATATGATCGTCGCTTCACCAAATCCTCTTCCTGTAGATTAGTGATTATGGGAGTTATTTAACCTTTTTCTCCGACTTCCTCGCACAGGAGCTCTACTCGGCCTGTAACCCCGTGGTGTCCAAACCGAAGCCCAAGGCGGAGCTCCCGCAGGAGGAGAAGACTGAGAACGGGCCGGTGAACGGGCAGGAGGGGCAGGAAGGGACGGAGGGGACTGATAGTCAGCCGGGCAATTCTGACAAAGCAACACCCGCGGGCGCAGAGCAAGGAGCGGCGGAGAAGAAGCTCCCCGACATGGACATCGACTAACGGTTCACCTCCGTTAGTCGGGCCGCTTGCAACCCGACCCGTGTTCCTCGAGAGTTATCAAAAATGCAAACAACGGCATCCCTAATCAATGCAGCCGGCGTCATCGGCACGTCATTCCCCCTTTATTTATTTTTTTCCTTTATTTTTTTTTCTGGTGAATTAAAAAATATTGCATAACTTTGAAAATAAATAGACTACTTTATGACATAAAGGTTGTCGGTGTCGGCCGGAAAACCGCTTCCTCCGCGTTGCTTTGACGGCCATCGTGCTAAAGATTGTTTAGTTCAGCATCTCCTGAGCATATTTAACATAAGAATGTCAGCTTGGAAGAATTGTAAGCAAAAGGACAGAAGAAAAGAAGTAATACACACCGGATTTATGACTGTGTAAAATATTGCAGTATGTCTAATTACGATAGAGGTACAGAGGGAAATGTTAACGAGCATCTAAGTTGTACATGACTTAAAATAAGTGTAACTGCTGGATTGTGTTATATTTAGTTTAAGGTTAAGGAGGACGTTGTTATTGAGTTTACTTGTATTGTATGTTGAAACTAGAAACTATAAGTTACTGTCATGCAGTATTTCCTGTTTGGCTTTTCTCATTCAAAAGCAATGGTTGGTCCTTTGGTTCTCTGGTAGACTTGTACTGTCTGTTTTTTTTCTACTTAACAGTTTGAGCGGTGGTCCTACTATTCACCTTCTAAAAAATAAATCTTGAACAAAACAAGGAATAGACATTTGTTGCTATAGGTGTGCACCAGTGATCTTGTGAACAATGCCTTCTTTTTGTAGTCACACGACAGTTACTGTTAATGAGAGCATGTATGTGGTACTTAGAAGACGGTACAGTTTTGTGGTTTTACAATTTTGATAGAAGATCCAATTTTGGCACTGATCCCAATTCCTCAAATGTGCTGGTTTACGTTGCTCCCAATTGACTTTTAACTGGATAAAACAAAAAATATAGCAGTTCTGAGGTGCTCTGATGGGCCTTTTTCAGAAGCAATGAGGCAAGTAAACCGCTTACTTAACTGCGTGTAGTTTTGTCTGAACATAGTATCGGACTTACTACATGAAATTTTATAAAGATAGATGAATGAGTGAATGAAAAACAAATACGAAGCCACACAGAGGGACTGCTAAAAAAATGCAAAATATTTGCCAGTTGCTGACCTGATCGATGCAATCATAATAACCAAAGCTAATAATAAAGCCAGGCAAGCATTTACCATATCATTTGTGTGGTATTTGAGAATATGAATATAATAAAAAACAAAATAGTTGTCATTGATTTAACTTCTACAACCGGGTAAATGAATAACTACCCTTTGTCAGCATCCAGGGACGGCTCGCTGTTGTTTTTGTTTGAATGGATCACGTTAAGCGTGCAGTTCCTTAACCGGCCGACAGGCCGCGCTGTGCCGCCCACTCACGGTGCCTCCCGGTCAGAGGGCAGGAGTCACTAGGAATCGGGGTTCTGAAAAGGTAATTTACCGCGCTGTGGTTCTTACGCACTCGCGGTGTTAGCGGACTCGTGTTCGCGCAGCTGTATCTCGGCGCCGGGGTTCCGGCACGAGTGTCGCCGGGCTTTCGCGCTGCCACGGAGGGAAAGTGACAGCGGGGCCGAGCTCGGTCACTGTTTACATCAGCTAACCCCTGCTAGCTAACGTTAGCTAGCGCGCGTATCTCCAAAGCGCCGCCGCTAACTCTGCTAACTTAGCGAGCGCGACCCACGTCTGCTGACGTGACGTTTGCCGGTATCCCCGCGTCCGAAACGGCGCCCGTTCATTCGGGATGGATGCCTACTAAATTAAAGTTTACTTCTGCTAGCTAGCGTGCTAACACCCGAGGCCACGGACATTGACGCAAGAAGACGTTATGTGACCGCAACGTTTCGCTAGCTTAGCTGCAGATACGATTAACGCTAAGTGAGCGGTCTCTACTCTGCGTGTACGAGTGCTAACATGTTTGTCTCGTGTTTTTTTTTTGTTGACAGGAATGTTAAATGTCCGAGGACAAGGAAGCCCAGGAGGATGAGCTGCTTGCTTTAGCGAGTATCTATGACGAAGAAGAGTTCCGCCGGGCGGAGTCGGCTCAGGGCGGAGAGATCCAACTCCGCCTGGAGCTCCCTCCGGATTTCAAAGTAGTAGTCAAAGGTACAATTAATTACAAGTTGGACTTCCCACTCCGTTTGCAGGCGCTCTTCACACCAAACGCTGAATCGATTTGTTGTCCCGTCCTCCCATCCCATCACTGCCTCGTGGATGTGACCGAATCCTCTCTCGTGTGTTTGCAGGAGAGAACCTGACTGAATATGATGTCTGCTTCCTGCCTCCTTTGGGCCTCAACTTTGAGCTCCCTGCAGACTACCCGTCTATGTCCTCGCCAGTCTTCACTCTCAGCTCCAAATGGATGAGCAGGGCGCAGGTAAGAATCGATACTCGACTGAGGAGAAGTTGAGTTACTGCTGATAAAGAATGTCTTCTTGCCGTTTTACACCCTCTCCCCCTCAGATGAGCAGTCTGTGCAGACGTCTGGATGAGCTTTACGAGGAGAACCAAGGCTGCGTGATTCTTTTCACGTGGATCCAGTTCCTCAAAGAGCAGGCGCTGGACTTTCTGGGCATCCAGTCTCCTCTGGAAGTCATCAAGGGAGGCAGCAAGGCAGGTGGTGAGCGCAGGAAAGCCGACCCGCAGGCCACAGGTACCGCATGCGTTCGCTTCAGGCTTCCGAATGAGCTAAAATCCCCCCCAAGCCATGTTCCATTAGAACATTTTGCAGAAGGATCTATAAGGAGCTCACCATAGTTTTGCAAACCCAATCCTCCTCCCCTTTGATTCATTAATTCACATTTCCTTTCAGCTCTGTCGCAGTGTGGGAGTCACTCTGAAGCCGCGGAGGAGACGAGGAGAGAAGCAAAGAAGGAAAAGTCTCAACAACACCCGGCGGATCCGCGGGCCGTTTTAGTGATGGACCCGCGCGCCGACCTCCTACCTCAGCTGCTGGACTTTGACGAGGAGCAGCGGCAGAAGGCGTTCGACGGCAAGGTGTTCGGCTGCGGCATCTGCTTTGTGGAGAAGCTGGGCTCCAGCTGCCTCTGCTTTAAAGAGTGCCAGCACGTCTACTGCAAGGCCTGCATGACCGAGTACTTCCAGATCCAAATACGGGACGGCAACGTTCAGTGCCTTAATTGTCCTGAGCCCAAATGTACCTCCATAGCCACACCGTCGCAGGTAAAGGGGCAGTAACGTGTGTGTGTGTGTGTGTGTGTGTGTGTGTGTGTGTGTGTGTGTGTGTGTGTGTGTGTGTGTGTGTGTGTGTGTGTGTGAGCGCTCAAATCACTTTACAGTTGACAAAGTGCCTTTCAGAGGAGAGTTTAGCTAAATTCAAATCCTGCGACTAGTCATCGACTTTTCTAAGTTGACCAAAGCGCTCGTGATGTCTTTGTGTCTCAGGTGAAGCAGCTGGTGGACGAGGAGCTCTTTGCCCGTTATGACCGTTTGCTGCTCCAGTCCAGTCTGGACGGCATGGCCGACGTGGTCTACTGCCCCCGCCAATCCTGTGCCACCGCTGTCATGGTGGAGCCCGACTCCACCATGGGGATCTGCTCGGTGTGCCAGTACGCCTTTTGCACGCTGTGCAAGCTGGGCTACCACGGGCTCTCCCACTGTAAAATCCCTGCAGGTAATGTGACTGAAAATACTATTTATTTCATGTTTTTTTTTTGTTCTGAATCCCAACGTGGGACCTAGTCCCGTCTTGTCGTGTACTAAAGTTCCATGTTTATATCAAATGTATTTGCAATACTTGATAGTAATTGCATTTAGATATCACTGTTGCTGTGACCCTCCTCTAACAGTCCCCTGTTTCTCTGCTTTGTCCGACAGAGGAATTGCGTAACCTGCGAGACGAGTACCTGTCAGCCACGAGCGTGGGAAAAAAGTTCATGGAGCAGCGCTTTGGGAAGAGGGTGATCCAGAAAGCGGTGGAGGAGTCCTTCAGCAGAGACTGGCTCAACGAGAACTGCAAAGGCTGCCCCCGCTGTGGCACCAACATACAGGTGTGGCGCCCCCCGCTGGCCACAGCTCTCATGACGGGCTTTGACTTCACGTCACCATTCACTTCTGGCAAAGGGCCGTGGGTGAAGCACAGTCGCGGGGAAAGTGGACTTTAAGCTGTCCTACTTGAGATATACAGATGATTAAGTAGTTTAAAATGCTATTCTCTATTCCACGCTTACCCCGAAGACCCCCCCCCCCCATGATCAGCTTGAGTTTGTGTTGGCTGAGTCTTCCCCAGCTAACGCGTTGTCCCTGTGTCTCTCCAGAAAGCCGACGGCTGTAACAAGATGACCTGTACCTCCTGTAAACAGTACTTCTGTTGGCTGTGCCTGGGCCTCCTCAGCAAAGTCAACCCGTACAGTCACTTTAACAACCCAAATTCAGCCTGCTTCAACCAGTGAGTCCAAGCGTCTCCTTTCCGTTTGTTTTGTTTCTCACCACTCGATGACCCAGCGGTCACGGAAACTGCCCGTCCAGGCGTAACCTTTGACCTCTCCTCCCCTCCCCTCCCCCCCTGTGGCAGACTCTTCCAGGGTGTGGATCTGGATGAAGAAGATGCCTTCTGGAGCGACGAGGAGGACTAACGGCTCGCCACTGTCCGCTCCGTCCGAATGCACTTTATCTCCCGTAACAATCACTTCACTAACAGTGACGGCAACAGCAGATCATGTTTTGGATACGATCATAAGTCTTGGGTATAAAACACTTAATGTCTGCCTGTAAATAGATGACGCTCAGTATGACAGATTTGATGCGTGTAACGTGTAAAGTCGGGAATGGCAAGTACAGCTTTAGCTTTATTCTCTGTTTGAGAAACAACCGTTGACATTTTCTTACAAACATACACGGTTGGTGTTGGTGACTCGTATAGATGATGACATTAAGGTCGAACTATTGTTTTAAACTCGAAAAGAGGAAAAAAGAAAATTGTACTTCTCTACTATATTCTAGATTAGATTTCAGGTCTTACCGTATTCTTCACGAGGACATTCTTTGACATTCTCCGGCTCGTGGCGATCGACCGGTGATGCTGGATACTACGTCGACGTGTTTGCTTACGATTGTCCAGCAGCTGGGTGTTGCTGCCAAAAGGGCCGCGTTTACCCTCTTTTTTCATATTTAGCAGGTAGATTCTCTACCTGCTAAATATGTCAACACCGTGGCATCAACTCACAGGTCACTTTCCATCAGATGAAGCCGCAGGTGGGTCGCCCACACCCGTGATACATAATAATCCTAAATGTAGGGAAACCAGTGGATTCCTATCCCGGCCATAATCACCGTGGTTTTGTTGTTGGTTTGGGGTTCACTGTCACCATGGGAATCACTTGATGTTCTTTTTTTCCTCTTTATGTCAGGATGTGCTTTTTTTTTTTTTTTTTTTAAATTGTCTTTTCTGAAATGTGTTTGGATTTGTCTTTTCCTGATATGAGTTACTCCACAGAAATGTGCCTTTGCACTTCATGTGATTGGAATCGGCTGGGTTGGAGATGGGTGTCTTCTGGGGAAAGGGATTCACAAGTGGGTCGAGGTGCCTGTGTTTTTGCACAAAGATTAACAGAAGACAGCAGTAACTCCTCGTGGGTGTCGAGTCGTTCAGGGACGGGGGGGGGGGGGGTGTAAATCCTCACGAGTCACCTTTTAGAAATGATATTTGATTACATGTGTTCATACCCTCCTTTGCACAACTTGTTACTTGAATGTTGCCAAAGTTAATCAAAGAGGCCATATGACCTTGATATGTTTAGAGATAAACATTTTGTATATTGTTAATTTATTTTCCTTTTATCTTATAACATCTATTTTTTTGAAAGGAAATGGAACCACACTGCACTTAAAAGGTGGCGACTGTTTAAAAGACCATGTTGAAATGCACTTGGATTTGCTTTCCCTTCAATGCAGAACCCAACGTCTTCATGTCTCACAGAGGAAACATTTGGAAACGTGACTTGCCGATTCATGTTAAAATGCATTCGTCATCAGTTTTGTTAGAATAAATATCCCCACTTTGTCCACAGATTGTCCATGACCCTCATTTAATCTGTGAAATATCAAAGGAAAATACAACACAAAGGTGACTGGGAATGATGTAATGGAAACGAGTACCTAATTAAAGAGTACCACACATACAGCAAAGTGCTTCATGGAGTAGATACTGCCAGTCAGTGGTTGCCTAGTTACACGTCTGACAAAAGGGTGCACGTGGCAATGTGAGTCAACAATAGTGCTGAGAATAGTTTTACAGCCCAGTTTCTTCTCAGCTAATGTCCAGTGAGGATTTGTTGATGTGCAGTAGGAAGGCATTTAGTGACACGTGCATCCACCAAGCAGTTTTTACTGTCAACGTTCACATTGTTATTTTTAATTGCGCTGAAATGATTTCAAACCGTATTTTCTTTGGTTTCATTCAGAAAAGCCCCTTCAGATGTCCACGGGTCGATCAGACTTTTCACTCAACCGGTATTAAGTTCGTCAATGAAACAAGTGTTTCGCGTTCGATGGAAGCCGTGAGCTCCGCGTCGCGCCTGAAGTGAGCGTTCCCAACGCCTCGTTACCTGAAAGGCGGGGCCGCGTTTAACCGCGTGATCCAGAGGTCACACTGTGACCGCAAGCGACACAATGAAACACTAAAGGAACAAAGGGCCTGAAAAGAGACGACAACACGGTGTGATCCCTTTGGTTAGAGTTGCTGACGGGGGACAACCCTTTTGAAAGGTCCCCTCTCTCCTGTCCGGCCTCGTGCCCCTCCAGCCCCTGCTTGTCTTTCACCATACACTGACTGAGTGACTGACTCAACCGTTACGTTTCCCATAAAGACACCCGCTCTCAGGCGCCCCCCTTACAAACGGCAGCACCTGACCGACGCCGAGGAATCCCTCACTGAAGCAAGAAGGAAGCAGGACCAGCGACTCCAAGGTCAGTGGATCTGTGATGTGGTGGCTGATGGGAAGCGGCCCTGGAGAGAACCCCCAGAGCTCGGCGTTGTGGATGTGTGTTTCGGCTTGTTCGTGTTAGGTGTTGAGCCACGTGGATAACTGGTGTCTCAAACATTTTCTCAAATTTTCTCACAATTTTCTTCTTTTAAATTTCTTTGTTTCTGTCAACCGTGAAGCTTTCAGGTAAGTGAGATGTAACAAAAACCGAGCAACACAATCTCAGGCATTTAAATATATTTATGTGATTATCGGCAATTTGTAACAGTTAACAATTAAATATATATTTTAAATGTAAAATTGCCAGCTTCAGTAGCTTTTATCATCTGGTTAGTGCCAACATTGAACTCTGTGGAAAACAAAACGGGAAAATACAGTCAGGATTTTCCATTTTGAAAGCGCCTTTGTTGAATATGGACGTCGACAGATCGAAGAAATAAGCCTTCACAAAGAGATCCACCATCCATAAAAAAGAAGTGCACCATTTAAAACGCCAATGCCTCCGCTTTAGATGTACCCTTTGTCCCCGTCCACCATTGTCCACCAACTGTCCCGTAGGAGACACGCACACATCCGCAGCTGATCCACAGCGGGGACGGAGGACACCATGATGGAGAGCGAGAGAGAGCTGTCGGCCATGGCGCAGGAGCTGTGGGACAACGACATCAACAGGCTCAAACCCGGCACCGACTACAGGATCTCTCTGCAGGTGCGGCACACCTTTACATGCCGTGACATACGGGAGCCCAAGGCCTAGTGGAGAGGACGTGTGACGGGGGGGCCAGGAGGATTCTGTTGTTTGACCTGTTAAACCTTTCTGTACCCTCTCTGTGTGTCTTTTTACTTCCAGGGGGTTTGGTGTAGTAAATGTAGCTCTGACAATGTGTGTAAAGGCCAACAAAACCAAAAAAGATGTGCCGCTAGTATTTGCACCGGTCCAGTTCTAAAGTTTGAGCGGTTGTCGTCCCGCTGCAGGGCAAAGCAGGAGACAGCATGTGCGTGAACGACGACAACGACGGAGCCGGGTCTCCTCTGTTTACGTTTGTCGACGAGAACACGTTCAAAAAGGAGACTTTTTTAGGTAAGTGCACCAAAAAAGTGCATTTTTTTTGTTCAAAATGAAGAAACGCCGTAAGGACAAAGGTCATCGCAGATCTAAACGTTAAAATCAAATGTATTTAATAAAAGAGATGGTGTTGTGGTAAAAAGAACATCTCAGCTGAGGAGCCGCTGGTCTTTGCAACCAAACAGGCCACAGGGCCCATTGACCATCCCTAGTGCCCGTCTGCTGCCTCCACCAGCGAACTCAGAACAATGGTTCCTACAGGTGTTTATACCAATGCGTAAAGGTGTGAAAGTTTGTGTCCACACCTCTGGGAGTCTTCTGGTGAGTTTGATGTATCTCGGATTTCGAATGACACTTTCGGGTCGTTTATTTCTAATACTCTTCACACATTTCACTGCACTGTTTGTCGCCTCCCTTCAGACTAAAGCCTCTCCGTCCGCTCGTAATCTCCTCATGACGGACTGTGGCGCATTGCGTAACCACGCAGCATGCAGAGTTCACCGCCGCCGAGCGGATGCTCCTCAATGGCCACTGTACACTGCTTGAGCTGGGAGTTTGTTTTTCAGGGCAAATGTATTGAAGTAGATCAGTTTGGAGACTTTTAATTTTTTTTTTTACACTGTACTAAGATAATGGTTTTGGTATTCGGTATTCTATCCACGTCCCATTCTGAGGCCAAATGCCTTTTTGAAGCGCAAGTTTGTTTGTTTTTTCCTGCAGCTTTCATCTCCCTGCTGGATAACTATGTGAGTGACACCGGCGAGCCAGAAATTGTGACCCCGGAGGAGGTGGCAGAGAACCACAAATTCCTGGACTCCATCATTCAGACTCCCACCATGAAGGTACCCGAGGGGTTCTTCTGAGAAACTCTCCCCTCTCGCTGTGCCCTTTTAAAGGGCCATTTCTACTAACACATTGAAGAGAACTCAATAGAGTTTCACTCTTTCAAATATTGATTTAATCAAACTGATTTTCACAATGATGGGATTATCTATAGTGTATTAATTTAATGGAAGTATACGCACCTGCAGCAGATCTTGTGATGTTGTAGCTCAAAGCTAATGCTAGCACGCTTTGATTGACGAAGCCAACATGTTGAGCGGACGTTGAGCATGTTTAATGGGAACTGAGGTATTATTAGTTTTGCAGCTCGTATATTTCTTTCACCTAGTAATCGCAGTAAAAGACGACAAGTCAACAGGATCATGAAAGTCATTGTCTGGGAACCACGAACGACGACGCTTCATTGTGAATTCCTGCTTGTTTGCAGATAGCTCATAAATACCTGGTGGAGAAGAACCTTTCTCCAAAGGATGATACACAGTTCAAGCAGCAGCTATACAGGATCTGGTTTGAACTTTATGCGAGGAGGGGATCCAGCAAGTAGGTGGAATCTGGCTCGGCATCTAAATATAACTTCACCAGTGGAATCTGAAACCACATCCAGGCAGCGTCGCTGTGAGCTATTGAAAAAGCATCAGGATGGAAACAGCCACTAAGGCGTGAATTATGACCAAATGGCACACAAGCTAACTAAATTTAGTCTGTTTAATCGATGGCACGCTGCTAAGTACAGAGTCATAAGGCTCCGTTTTTAAATGAACCCACAGGGAGCATTTAAAAATGAGCCGTCAGACAAAAAAAAAAGGGACAATAGTGTGTTGCGGCCTGCACACAAGCATTCAGATAATGACGTCCGTCCCGTCTCCCGCCAGGCCGGACTCCTCTGGATTTGAACACGTGTTCGTCGGGGAGACGAGAGGAGGGAGGACTGTCATCGGCTTTCACAACTGGATCCAGCTGTACCTGCAGGAGAAGCTGGGACACATCGACTACAAAGGCTACAGCGTCAGCGCCAATTCCCCCCAGGTACGGTGTGTCATCACTACACGCAATGGGCAATGAATATATCTATTCAGCACTACTGTATCTGGATTGTTCTTCTGACAAATCTTTATTCTCTCCCCCGGTTGCCGTTGCTCACTTTGTCTTTCTTGACCGGTGATGAGAAAACTCACATCCTGCTATGACCACGTTCTTCCTCTCTCGTTCTATTGAGCCTTTGGGCGGATTTTCAGATCATATTTGCGTATTTCTTCGCCAAACTCGTCCCCAGTTTGCAATTATCATGCAACACAGTGCATTCCAAAGTATATTTGCAATGTGCACTGAACCCATGGGACACCGTCGTCTTCAATGTTCCTCTTTCATGCCCTGCCATTTATTTCTCTCACTGCAGCCCGACGAGAACAAACACATCCTGGCCCTCCAGTTCAGCTGGAAGGACGGTATAAAGCCCAAGGGCAGCATCTTCATCGGCGTCAGTCCCGAGTTTGAGTTCGCCCTCTACACGCTCTGCTTCCTCACCTCGCCCAACGAGCGGGTCAAGGTCCAGTTCAGTTCCTACGACGTGGAGATCGTTTGCCACCACTACAACCAAAAGCACATAGGCACCACTTACCCTGTGCTCCTTAAGTACCGGAAACCCACCTAGAAACTTGGCTAGATATAGGATATCACTTCTCCAACACTTTATTTTAGATGATGATACATTAAAAAACCTATAAAAGACCAAACTGCATTCGTTTTTTTATTTGTACAGTGATGCCTATTTTGACAGTTTCTTTACTCAGTATGTGATTTTGTTTCTGCCATTTACATTTTTGTCAGTAACTTTTTAATTATATATATATTGGTTTCACCTCGCTCCAAACGGGGGCGGTAGAGGGTTTGTTGTGGCCAATGACGTCAATCCATTGGAAAGACCTGTATCAAGCTGGAAAGAATGAAGAAATGGCACGGTTGTAATTTCAAAATAAAACAATCAGACATTTCCAATGTCAAGATTTATTTTAAACATGTCTTCATGTTACAGATTAAATAAATAAATGATGAACTGAACTGATGTAGGCGACATAGCACTTCACAAAACACCGCCTTCATTTACTGTTGAAAGCGTTCCCCCTGGGCTTAATTTGAAAGGACGTCAAAGCTAACCGGAAGCTTTGTGTTTAACGCTAACAATACATTAGCTTGACATTGGTGTGACCACCGAGCAGTCGAGGGGAAAAAAGGTTTTCATCGTCATGAAGATTTAACTGTTATATAATTTTGTTTTCGCGTTGAGGTTCCAGTGTCTTGTTCCTATCTCTGTTGTTGATTCCCGGCAGTTTTAAAATCGGAATGGGCGAACCGAGCGGCAGATATCAGCAGGTATGGAAACACTCGACGTTATCGGTCTCTTGACAGCGTAATTAGCGTTAGCTAACGTTACATGTTTTGACATCACGTATCCACGTCGGCTTCGTGCTGTTAATTAAAAACGACGACGCCTATCCAGGTGTGTCGATCTCGTGGTGGCTTTCGTCAATTGAATTTGTTCGGGATTAATCTCGTTTATTCTCAATCGGGTGAAGGTGGCTGTTGACGTGAAGCCGATGGTTAACTACGTTTGCCCGTGTTAGCGGTTCAGCTAAAGCTAAAGCTAACGCTGCGCGAGCTCCATCCATCGAACCTGAGAGCGTGGCTCTTTAAAAAAAAAAACCTAAACTTGTCATTGTAACTTCAATGGACCCTTCTCATCCTCACTTAAAGAAACCGCTGATTCCGATAACCTGCCTAGCAATGTTTAATATTCAGTTTATTAAATAAGTACAGTTTTTTTCAGAGTGAGCACATATTTGTTTTTATTTGAGTGTATTATCAGTGGTTATCTGTCCCTCATCATTCCTTTATTTACTGAATGGGTGTTCCCATCATCTCTTCGCATGTCCAGGGCATCTTACTGACTAAAAGGGGTTATAATATGTCACGGGAAATAGTCATTTGGAACTGCATCAGTCAGCAACTGCTCGTGTCTTGTCTGGATTACATTTCCAAACTAGGAAATAAAGTAAAATAAATAAATAAATAAAGCGCCACCCACATCGAAGGGAAAACCAGAGCGTTAACCTGTAATGTATACCTCTGCTAATCAAGGCTGCCACTAAGGTTTCTTTAGGTAATTAGTGGATTTCTTTTGTTGAGACCAGTGTTGCTAAGTTACCGCTCGGTATTCAGCACTATGTCACTGGTCTTTCCTGGCTGATGATCAAATGCGTTGGCTTTTCGATTCCAGCTCAACCAAGAGGAAGGAGAGGCGTCGTCCGGGGCTGCTTTTACATTTTCACGTTTATTACTCATCGTCTCTTTTTTCGATGTTATCTGCGCTCCAACAACTCCCTTCCGCTACCCCGTCAGCTCTTTTACGTTTCAATAATAGTGAAGGACTACTTGGGCAGTGAGAAGCTTCTTTAGCTCAAAGCAGCTACTGCTGACACACACGTTTAATGTACCAGGATGTGGTTGTCTTCCCCTCCCCCCAGCTGACCAATGAGGAGGACCCACAGGAGACTCCACTGGTAGCAGCTGAATCTCCACCCCCCTACAGCAGCATCACAGGGGACAATGCCGGTGAGACCATCAATAATCCAGATGTTTCCCAGGTGCTTGGCCCATCTGCGCTGTTGGTACACAGAGAGGCCGTATTTGTGTCTGTGGGCGCAGGGCGAACCGAAGGAAACGAGGCCCTTTAGGAGCTTGTGAACTGTTCAAGAAATAAACGTACGGCCATTGTATGAGGTATTCATATAGATTATTTTATAACTGAAGGGGCTGTTCTGATCATGTTGGCACGATGGGATTCTCACAAGCTTTCTTCATCGGAATACTGAAGGTTATTCAAAGCAATAAAGTTCAGTAAATTATTGATACAGTATGAAAAATAGTCTAACTGGTATAACGAGACTCCTGGGATTGCTCTTTGTGGGAAATATAATAGTTGACTCGACTGTGTCTCACACGCCAGAGATTCTTCTTCTTCTTCGCATAAGCAGCCATTTTATTGTTGGCTAAAAAGTCTGTCTGTGCCTTTGTTTGTGAAACTGTGCCATTTATATTTTTCAGCCTTCTTTGACTACAAGGAAGACGGTGCTTTCCCCAATCCTCCATCATACAACGTTGCAACCACGCTGCCTTCCTATGACGAGGCAGAAAGAACCAAGACTGAGACCGCGGTTCCCCTGGCAACTGGCAGAGTGAGTAGCATCGCTGCAGTTCTTTTGTTTTTTTTTCCTCCTTCCTTTAGCATTTTGTCTGTGGTCACACTTGATATGTACACTGACGCACACGGTCGCTTCTGGTGCCCAAACACTTCCTGCGTTGTCTGCAAGGCAGGAAGTGGAAAAGCTTTTTCTCTTCTTCTGATTGTGTCTGTTTGTCTTTCCGACATGAACGTTCGCTGCTTGCTCGAATAGGAAGAGATTTAATGAAGTAGAGAAAAACCCCATTATTGATGACTCATAATAAATGAGAATTCAGTAATAACTCGACTACCCTTTGTGCACTTTGCACCTGCGTTTGTTCTTCTGAGTAAATATTGGTGCAGCATCTGAATTGTGAGGGGAGCTTCGGACTTTAACGCGTTCTGTACTGTTGCCGGGTCGCATTACATGTCGGAACCTGGGATGTAGCTTCAGTTAGCCACAAAGGCTAACGTTTCCGTTACTACTCAAACATTGTAGATGTGCAGCATTGATATTTATCTCTGTACCGTCGACCTCACATGGAGTGTGGAAATAAGCAGGGAAACATTTTCAATTTGCTTTCCAGCTGTTGCTTTTTAAAAATGTTTTTTGTTAATTTTCCATGGCTACAACCACTAAAAACCACAGCCAAAGTTTTTATTACTCGTTGCATCTGTAAAAGAACATCGTTCATTTTTGGTAGTCTAGTTCTTTTGATATTACACCTTTTGATGGTTTTCTAGATTGTTTTAATGGCTGAATTTTGCTGGTTTGCGGTGAACATGTTTTTTTCTTATTATTGTGTCACCGTCTCTTCCAGTTACAAAGGGCAAAGCTCACAGACAACCAGTAAACCAACCTCAGGCTTTAGCACCAAAGTCTCCTCCACCCCAAACTAAACAACGTGCCCTCAGCCGCGACTCCCCGGCGGCTCATTTCTGACCTCTAGCGGTCACGTGATGCTCTTTGCTTGACTGCGTGTGGGGCCATCCTGTTTGATCTGCCCGTGTTGTGTTTCTCTGCCACACAACCGCCCCTTTTGCGCTCAGCACCAGCCGCAACCTCAGCACAGGGAACGCCCGGAGACTTTTGACGATGTAATTCGCAGTTCACTGGAGGTAACTGGGAGGAGTGTGTGTGTGTGTGTGTGTGTGTGTTTAGAGTGCTTAGTAGATAAATACACGTCGTCTACTGGTTCTCTTGTTGTCCTCCATTTAATTGAACTGAATCCAGAACCTTTGAGATAATGTGGCACCGATGGTAATTTCAATGGGCTTGCTGTGTTGTGGTGGCTCCATTGTTCTCTTGTTTGTTTGTGTTCAGCTTGGTTTCCACTCCTATGTGCTTGCTCGTGCTCAATCACAATCCCCTTTGATCTCGGTCACCACTTTGCACTTGCAGAATCCTGAAGGAAGCGTTGTGACACACTCGATCAAAATGATCGATTTGTTATTTTGAATGCCTGAACAATTCAACTGTCCTCTGTTTTTGTTCTCTTGTGTTGCTCTTTCTCTCCCAGGACGAAGACTTTGTGGCCAGAGACGACTTTGAGGACGCTGATCAGCTGAGGATAGGAAATGACGGCGTCTTCATGCTGGCATTCTTCAGTTAGTTACTCAACCTACTCGTCTGTCTCTCTCTCCTCCACCCATTGGCTTTCTTTTTCGTCTCTTCTCGAAATGACACCCTTTTCCTTTTTGAGATACAAATCAGTGACTTTTCTTTTGCGTAACCTCTCTCTCCAGTGGCATTCCTGTTCAACTGGATCGGCTTCTTCATGTCTTTCTGTCTGACCACTTCAGCAGCCGGCCGCTATGGGGCCATCTCAGGCTTTGGCCTCTCGCTGATCAAATGGATCCTCATTGTCAGGGTAAACACACGCACACACCACTCTGTAGCGGTTGGTTTGTTCTCTTGAGTAAAGCAGCAGCAGGACTCTTTTTAAATCCAACCATGGAAGGCCGTATTTATTCTAAGCAGTCACTTTGTGTCTCTGTTGGCTCTGCAGTTCTCCACATACTTCCCTGGTTACTTTGATGGACAGTACTGGCTATGGTGGGTCTTCCTGGTGTTGGGTAAGTGGCCAACTTATGAATTTGAAAGATTCTAATAGGGAGTTGAATGTTTTTGTCCTGCTTGTGACACATTTGTGCTCAGCTGTGATAAGTGTTACGCAATAGTTACAGCTGTTGTAAAGCACACAGAGGGGACTGTGTTTTTTTATTTCTCCCCCCAACAGTAAATTCCCATTTTCCCATTCCCACTCGATTAAATGACTGATCACTGGTGGCTGACTGGTCACTATTTCATTGGATTATCTCCCCCCTTAAGGCCCCTGGTTGTCTCACTTTCCCTTTTCCCCCGTTGCTCTGCAGGCTTCTTGCTCTTCCTTCGAGGATTCATCAACTATGCCAGAATCCGCAAAATGGCTGACACTCTCTCCACCCTGCCCCGCACCCGAGTCCTCTTCATATACTGAGCTCACAGTCGTCATCGTCATTCTTTTCCTCCTTCTCAATGAAGCGTGCTGTCTGGTTTTATCCAATCACAACGGGAGAAAAGGAGGCGTTTCCCCTCTGCTTGACATGATCTGGACAATACATCGGTTTTCCCCTTTTGGTGTAAAAAGGTGATATGCTGTAAAACTATTCAGTTGTTAGTGGTGTACTGTCAAGTGCTATTTGCAGTTCTGAAGTGTGTGATGTGTAAATGAATGCCTTATTTTCTGTTTGTCTGCCTCTTGGTAGCGGCGGCATGAGCCGTTCTCCTGTCAGCCACCAGGGGGCAGTCAGGTTTGTGTTTACTTTCACCACTCTTCTATCAAATGATGTCACGGTTCTCAGCCCTGGACTCCGGGTACTTTGGGGATTATGGTTGATTTACTCGGTGTGAAATAATATATTTCATGTCCCATTTTCATGTGCTTTTAACCTTTTTGTCACTAATGCGTCATTCCCGCCGGAAATAGTGTATAATTCAGCTAAGATGAGGACGAAAATGGAAAATGATCCGCTTTTTTTGGGGTACAGGCACCGGAAAGGGCGAGAATGTATAGCGGTTCAGGGGCATGGTTTTCTTTTCCTTCTATAATTAGGAATAGTTTGGTCACACACACTGTAATCAGGAGCGTTAGTGCTTTACATTTAGTACACGTATACCAGCACAAAGGTAAAGCAGAGCTTCTTTAAAAGGCAGAGGATCACTGCCCTGCTCAAGGACACCGTGTCATGCAATAAGATGATAGTCTGTCACTCCATTCACATGTGCAGTCAGACGCCACATCTTGGTCACTGGCGCCCATTGACTGTTTACATGGATGGAAACATTTTCATGTTCCCAGAAGTGATTTTGAAATCCTTTCCTGTGAAGAACAAGGACGACATTATACAGAGAGAATTCTTTCTTTTTTGCCCAAGCAATGAAATATTGAGTCAGTCATTTTCTGTATATCCTCACTGTAGTGGAATGACATGGTTTCTTTTTCAAAGAATTTCATTATCTGTCTTGGAAAATGTTTGGAAATAAACGGGAAAAAGTCAATTTTGGTGTTCAGCTATTTATTACATGTTATTAAGCTCAAGAATTTGAGAAATTATATTTTCTCAGCGGATTATAAAGTTGTTTTGGACACAATCAAGTTTCATTAGACCCTAACCTCGCCCAGATGACCTTACAGGTCCAGATAAAAACACCCACCATGTGAAGAACTGTATAACGTGTGTGGAAAATACAGAGTTCCGGAGCTCCTCGGCCACAGAGAGGAAGCCCAGCTGACCGCGATGTTCAGTTACTGACACGAGATGTACTTTTAGCCATGCTAAATTTAACGTGTGTGTGTGTCTGTATGTGCAGAGGAATTAGGATGATTTACTGGCGGTTAATTATACATGTCAGCACTGTTTTTCCTTGCAGTCGTAACAGGAAGTGAAGGTCACCCCACCTGGAAGACATGTGGCACCAACCGACTCAGGGTTTGGTTCCACTGGAAACTAGCGTCACATCCAGCACAGCTGGATTTTGGCCTCTGGAGGTGATCAGTTGACGCGACATTAGCTCCTTTCGGGTCGTCTTTCACGGGGCCCAGAGGAGGAAATGTCACTCTCAATTCACACAAAAGAAATGATTCTTTTACAGCACGTGAAGCAGATTTTTGCTCTCCAATCCAAACCCTTTTAAAGAGTCATACATGTAATTAGACGACAAGAAACTGCTGAGAGGCGACTGTTGACTGATGGGTGACCTTGTTAACATAAACTATACACTTCCTCTTTCGTTTACCTCAGACCTGCTGCACCACGGCTTTCTGAAAATCAGATTTCCCGAACTCATTTCTTGTTACGCATTGTGCACTTTGGAGAAAACAGAAACAGCTGTTGGTCAGAAATTGCAGATGTGCAGAAGCTCTGGGACAGAAAACGTGAACTCAAACTGTCTCGTGCTTTCTAGTTATTGGCTCTTCCACGGACGAGGTAGCATGACAAAAAAATAAAGGTCAAAGGTCATCCTCCAGAGCATCAGCACCAGTCCACCAGCACCACCAGATGACCTCGGATAAACAAACCTCACTCTGCCAGGTGCGGACGGCTTTAATCGCCGACAGCGTGTCAGCTGTAAATTCCGGCAAAGCACACACAACAGCATTCCTCATCATCGACATGGTACACAGACCCCGCCCTCGGTCCACTTGAATCCCTCATGTTCCTCCTCCTCCTCCTCTCTCTCCAGCAGGGTCACCCGGTCCAGGTGTCCTCGTTATCCAGATGTCATTCATGAAATAACTCGTCTCGTCGGCTGCCCTCGATTTACAGGGACGGAAGTGTTTCTCGGAGTAATTGATGAGGATCATGTGTCCTAGCAAAAGAGCCAAGGCCACTGCTTGCATGTTTTAGCTATCGGAAAGATAAGAGGAGGCCGTTTGATGATCATTCTGCAGAAATATTTGTCTGATGAATGCAGAATGAGGTAACCGCTCGTGAGACTTGGATGTTATTAATGATTTCATTATTAACACTTTTTTCTAAAATGTCCTACAAGATATTTTCTACAAAAGGCTTTTAGTGACACGGAAAGATTTTGATTCAGAATTTAGTGTCAACCTCCTCTTTTAACTTTTGGGCAGGAGCGCAATAAGGTTTGTGTTGCGTCATCATTACTTTCTCTTCTATTTACCACTCGCTCATTGGAATTGTGAGCAAGGAACTTTGAATTAAAATTGCTCCTCTAAAGTTGCTCAACAGCACAATAGTGGCCAAAGCTGACAGGCGTGAAACTTACTGCTGGATGAAGGTTAAGAAAAACTTGGAGACACCAATTTTGCCAAAGATAAGAACGTCTCACATCATGTGACCCTGTTTCAGACGTGTGATCCCCCCGACCACACGGATCAGGTTGATTTCTCACCAGGGGAAAACCCTGTTTTGCAGCGTGGGCACAGAAACAGAAAACGTAAAAACCAAATCAGAGACCAGCATGCTGTGAGTTCCAGAGGGGAACTGTTCTGTTCAGAACAAATGGAGCCAAAGCTGGCGCAGTTTTCTCACGATGGCAGATGGTGGGACGAGGAAAAGGCCGGTGGAGAAATCACTCGTTTGTGTTTACACGTTTATCCTCCTTTATGTATATATATATATATATATATATCCTTTATATACCGGTGATGATCCCTCCTCCACGCCCTCATACTAATCTCATACTGAAATAATAATTCCATGATGTCATTTTTCAATTGATTTTTACACTGTTGACGTTTTGAATTCATCCCTGTTTATTTTGAAGGCAGAATATCTTCCCTTCCCTTTACACAGAGTGCAGCCGGTCAGAGCTTCAGATAGGAGGCTTCCCGGGATGTGGGTTTGCATCCAAATGATATGTCCGTCGTCGTCTTCTTCCCGTGTGCGTGTGATTGGGGGTGGGGGTTTTGTCATTGATGTGTGAGTCATCCTGATCCCCCCATCTCCCCATCCCCCCCATCCCCCCCTGCCCTCCTTGCACTTCATGTGGCGTGTTCATGTGTGCGCCTATAATTGCGTGCGTATACGTGGATGTGCTTGCGTAAGCGTCCCGTAGGCCGCCTGTGTTTATGTTGGAAGTCGTCGCGGGTCTAAAGCAAAGAAACAAGCGATGATGTCATCTCTACCTGCATGTGTGTCACGGCGAATGGCGTGAGCATCCCTCTGTATTGTGTGTGCGTGCGTATGTGTGTGAGGTTGGTAAAGCGGCGGTGAGTCATCCACGGGCCAACGTTGCCTGTTACCATGGGTCACACAGCAGGTTCCCCACCTCCCCATGAGCTCCTTTTTTCTTCTTCTTCACCCACCTCTCTTCCTTATCCACTTCCTCCTTCGCCCCCCCCCCCTCTCCATCTCCTCCTCTCCCTTTTTCCTCTCTGACTCACAGATGACTCCCCCACCATCATCAATGACATCACCACCCCCTCCCTGACACTGTGTTGTGGTGATTCATACTGTACGTTGAGACTTTCTCAGCTCCTCTTCTCAGCCCAACCAGCCGGGCAAACGTGAATGTCGGCCATTCATTCATGAAATCACAATGAGGCAGCCGGAGCTTTTGTCTCTGACTACTGTGACCATCAAACAATGTTATGCATTGTAAGATATGTGCAGGGAGGTGATTTATGACCGGTCGGGTCGTAGTTCAACGTGCAATGTTATGATGAGTTTCACAAGTGAATGCATTATGCAAATGGTTTGAGAAAAATATTAGGTTGAAAAATGTCACTAGTAAAAAAATGTATGTTGATATTGTTGTAAAATGTCAATAATGTTGTGAAATGTAAAAAAGAAAAAATATATATATTTAGTCATGTCATTGAAAAAATAGTCAAATATGTTATGTCGAAAAAAATTTGGCCAAGAAATGTTTGTATATATTAGGTCAAAAATGTTTTGTGAAAAAAAAAGTACAAAAATATTAGGTCCAAAAATGCCATGGAAAAAAGTTAAAATCAAAATATATTGGGGTGAAAGATTTAATTGAAAAAATGTCTGGGAAAAAAAAAGACAAAATATTTAGTTGAAAAATGTAGTGGTAAAAAAAACAAAAAACGGTTAGGTCAATAAAATATATGAATAAAATACAAATATAATGTTGTAGTTTGTACTCTTGACGATCAGTCGGGATGAAGGAATATAAGTATTCTTCTGTTGTGCTCAATACAAAGACGTCTGCATATAAGGAAAAGAATCTTGAAGGCCAGTACAGTAGAATATGCGTTCTATGACCTTTCCTTTCACCCTTTACTCGAAATGTAGCAAATGTACTTCACTTGGCAGCGTACAGAAATGTTTCACTGTCTCTTTAATGTGTTACTGCTATTAATTCATCGACAACAATGAAATGTCACCACATCTCTTCCTATACATTTCTTGCAGCGTGGCAGTGTTTAGTCTATAACGTGAAAAACGACCCTGGTTCCTCACATCACTGCTTTTCTCCGCAGACTGCAGTCCAGTTATCTTCTGCAGGCGTTTCTGAATGTCACAAAACGGAGGTCCGTTGTGTTGATGCATCAGACACCGAGAGGCGGGTTTGTCTATGACTTCATCCTGTGGTGACGTCAGCGCTTTACTTCAGGGCTTTACTTCACTTTATTCAGTTCTGCCTTAAAGATTCCAGGTTATCGGTTAGAAGCTGGAACTATAATCTTCCCTCTTCTCCTCCTGCTCTTGCTGATGTCTAAATCCCATCGTTTGTAATGTTCCACTCTCCTTTCTAACACATTATCTTAATTTGCTGCCGGCTATTTCAATTCATCACACAGAACTGGACAATATGAATTCTATTGAATTGTGTTCCTGCATATTGTATTTGCAGATTATTGTGTTTCTTTTCCATTCTTTCGTGTCCTATTTAACAGTTTTCGAGTCGTCACATGGACACCTCACACATACCTCCTGTCAACAGTTTAATTACTGTTTCATGTCGGTGCTCTTGGCAATCCAACTCAGATTTGTCTGCACATGCCGTAGCCATGGCAACAATTTACCATACTCAACAGTGACGGTTCAATTTAGAAGTGACGGTGAGACCAGCCTAGGACACGCATCACATTTTGCCAAGACTCCCAATTTCTTCCCGTCGCATTCATTTGGTGAGCATCCAGGGGGAGGAGGGGGGTGGGGGGGGGTACTCTGTTGAAATGCACAATATTCCCGTGTGACACAGTTTGTGTTTGTCCTACTTGCTCGCACCCACCCGCCGTCTCCCTCCGTCTCGGCTTGCGGGGGGCTTTTTTGTTTTTGTGAATGGAGCGTGGCTGTGCTATGACGGCAGGACGGTTGAATGGGGAGGGAGCGACGAGCGGGTGAATGGGAGGGATGGGAGGGACGCTTGTGCCGAGGGAGGGAGAGATGTGGTGGGCTACGTCACATTACGTTTCCCCAGTGCATCAAGGGAACTGCTCTGTCTGTGACTCATACTGTCAGGATGGGGCGGGGAGGGGGAGATGGGGAAGGGAGAGAGGGGGAGAGAGAGAGCGAGAGAGAGAGAAGGGCAGAGGGAGGCAGAAGAGACGAAGACGA